ACAAAATACATAATATAATAATATAAATACATATAAATACATATAAATACAAAAAATGAATGGTGTGATATAAATGAAGAAGCAGGATGAGGAAGAATGTCAATTGATATATTTTGGGGAGTTTCTCTTCTTTTTTAAAAAATATTTATTTAAATATTATATCAATAACAAGATAAACTTTCATTGAAATAATTTCTAATACTGAAGAGGTTAATACGGGAAATTCTGAATAATTAGTATCTTCAATAATATGCTCAATGTTAAAAATTGATAGACTAAAATAGAATAGCACTTCAGCACATTTTGTAAGGAAAATGTCATTTCCGTGTTCAGTTGTGTTGATGAAACGTCTGATTCTTTCCAGGACATTGTCAGACTTCTTGCCTCCTTTAGTCCAACTGTCTACCAGTCCCATTTACTGTGTGAGAGTGATGGTCTGTAAGGCCTTGGTTGCCATGACTCCACCCACGGAATACAGGAACATTCTCATCAAACTGACTGCTCAGCTGCCCAGGCAACAGGAGCGCTGTCGTCACAACCAGCTCCATGGGCAGCTGATGCAGATCAGAGCCTTTGTGGAGAGAACTCTAAGCACTGACAGGTAATTATGTAAAATGTTCAACCATCTCCCACTCTACTGTTTATTTCTGTTACTCATCTGAATCTGACACATCAGTCAACTCCCGCTGTGTTTTTTGCACAGTGCCTCATCATCCTCACTGACTGATGTGGTGACTAAGGTGGAGGAGTCGCTGTGGCTATTGACCGAGGCTCAGCGCTGTCCCCTAGTGAGAGCAGTCTACCTTGAAGTGGCAGAGTCATTAAGAGGCCTCTGCTCTGAAACGTACCTGTCCTATATCTGTGACACATTAATGCATGACCTACATACACCTCAAGAGGGACTACAGGTAAACAACAGACATAAAAGGACAATAATAATGTATTTTATTGTAAATAAAACAAGTTATTATAGTAGAGTATTCTCACATAAACTTCACCAAGGACATTTAAAGTCTTGTACTTAGACTCATCATTGTACACAACCGGTTTTGCCATCTACCTAATCACAGGCTTCCAGGTTGGGACATACTGTATAAACTGCTCAGTCTGGAATCAGTTCCACATTCTTTCAGTTGTATAACAACTGCATGGCCTGATAAGATATAGAATAGAGTACAATAGAATAGAGTAGTTTAAGAATGTTTTTTCAACAAGTCAAGGGGAATTTGTTATAGTTGTTTTAATTTACAAGCTATATTTATTTTTATTTATCATATCATATCATATCATTTATATCATGGATTATAAAAAAGAACAGCACCTTGGCAGCTAACCTCAACCTTTTCTGCTGATGACGACTTACTCTCGAACCTTACTGTGTACATTTTTGCGGGCTGTATATTGAAACTAGCTATTGTTAGCTGTTAAACAGCTAACAATTCACCAACATTAAGTTGAAAAGTAAGTCATTGTTGTCTGTCAAACCCAGAGGTTGTGAGCACAGTTCTGGCTGAGCTAAGGACCAGATCATTCCAAGATACAGCACATTCCATTCAAGACTAAGTCAGTGTAGCCTCTATCAGTGTATGCAGCTAAATGTTTTTATCATCTCTGAGGACATTAAGTACTTTACACGGTCTCTCTTTGTAACTGCTGAAAGGTTAAAACCTCAGCTTGTTTTCAGTGCATATGTATTAATATTTCATTTTGTTTTTTTCTGTCACCTTCATAGGTCGGTTTGTCATCCTTCCATCAACGGGCCATTAGCTTCCTGTGTGCAGATCCACAGTGGGCACACCAAGTGTGGGACAGCTTCTCTGCAGGGAGCTCTGATCTAAAACTCTCCCTGGTCATGTGGTTAGTTGACGGGCAGAGATCGCAGCCGAGCACCTTAAAAGAAGTCATCATGAGTGTGTTGCAGGTGAGACCGCACTATCAAAGAAAACCACGTCCCTCAGACCTGAGTCTAAGGTTCAGTGTTATCAGGCATTTCTATTGTTATTGGGTCCTTTCCTTTAAAACGACTGTGTCAACTGTTGTCCTGTAAAAGTGAATGTGTTTAAATCCAAAAACAAAACCTGGTTACAGCAATACAACACAACCATAGTACAATCAGAGTATTAAAATGTGTAGAAACAAATGAATTAAAATGATTATTTCAAAACTTTTAAAATAAAAGTCAACTCTCTAAGATCGGGTTTTAAAATTGTTTTCATCTCAGCTGAACCTGAGGGAGACTATGTTGAGCCACAGCATCGTGTACCGCAGGACTTTCCTCACAGCTTTGGCTTTGGTGATGGATGAAGGTGATTCTACATCCATACAGCAACCTGCTCAGACTGCTGCACTGCAGGAGCCAGTGCTGTCTGAGTGTCTGGATCTGTTACTCAGGGACCTGGAGGAAGTGGGATCTGGACCAGAGTTTCTGTCCCATGTTCTGTGTGCTGCCAGTCTGCTGCTTTCCAAGGGTTTAGAGTCAAGGTTTGAAAAACAATCTCTTTGCATATTTTTTTGTATAAAACTGCAGCACATGTTCCTGTCTCTCTGACTTTCTTTGCATGTTTGTTGAAATTAGTGTAAAAGAATCCATGACGCTGCTCTGGTGCAACATCTTGGAGTGCTACCGGAGCCCAGATGCTCCTGAAGTGCTCAGGTTGGCCAGTGCTGATGCTCTATGTGTGGCTGGAGTTCCACTAATGAGCCAATACAGAACTCTGCCCTCTATTATGATCAGGTATTACAGAAAATCAATAGTCAATGTTGTCTGTCTTTGCATGGGTTGGTGGAACAGAAGGTAAAAATTCCAATCTTATTCTGTCTAGGTTGATCAACACAGGCCTTTACCTGCTGCAGGACCAGAACCAGCAGGTGAGGGCTAAAGCTGCAGGTTTTACCTCCATGCTGCAGCATGTCAGAGCTCGGGAAGGTCGGGTCAGCGCGTACCACATGCAGGTCAACCAGGCTGTGCCGTCTCTGCTGGACCTGCTCCTGGAAGAATTCTCTGATCTTCCTGAAACACTAGAGGTGCTGCTGAGTCACCTGCCTCAGTCTGACATCAAATCAATTATCAGAGATGCCACAGAGACAGGGTACGTTATACAGTACTTTAAATATGTGTAGTTTGCTACATTTGTGTACCAGGATGTTTTAAAGTAAGATATTCCTCTAAAATAACAGTAATTTGTGTCTGTCATGGTTTTCCGAGTCAGAGTAAAACAACTTTACATGAATCTAAATAAAAATTTAAATCATTTGTGAAACTTAAGAAAGAAATATTTATACAATGTATGAGATAATCAAAGCTAAATGAGGCTATAACCAGAGGCAACAAGGTTTATTTATCTCAGTGTAATAATACTACACACTCTAAGACAGGGGTTCCCAAAGTGAGTTGCAGACCTCCCTCAAGGGTGCAGAGCTATTGCAGGAGGGCGACAGCAAATTAATTTAAATTATGTTTTCATTATTTGACCTGCAGTGGGGTAATAGCACTTATTTGTTATGTCATTTTTTTCTTATCAAGCAGAATAGCAGTTTGGTGTGAATGAAATTGTTTTAGATAAAGATCAGTGGAGTTTTGAGGCAATAGCTATAATGATATGTCAATGTGAGCAGACGGTGGTACTGTTCAGAAAAAGTTTAGGAACCACTTGTCCTAATAGAACCTTTCATATACAACACACTTTTGTGTTTTACCAGATAAGAAAACAGAACCAATGTAATTAATCCTGTAACTTCATATTCAATAACATATTCACACCAATGAAAAAAAAATCAAACCTGTTTTTATAGTATTTTAAGTCTGATTTGAATCAGGCTTGATAGTAAACGTCTTTCTCCATCTGCTCGCTCCAACAACGGGCCACATTGTCTGAGTTGTTTACTCAACCTCTCCCTTCCAGATTCTCCACTCTGTATGAACAGGATGAGGCCAATGTGTTTGCAGAGCCGTCTGTGATGTCAGCACAGGTGCTGCCCTACCTGCTGCAGATGACTGAAAAACACCCCCAGTCCTCGGCTTTGGCTCAGAGTTTGAGCATGTGGGTAGAGCAAAGTGCTGCTCACGTGTGTGACTGCCTTGAGTTGTGCAAGAACTTACTGCCAGGTACCACGAATCACAGCTGTCAAGATAAAAACTGGAATGTAAGTTTTGGACTGGAACATTCATTTCTATATAACTGTTTTTTAAATCTCTCTTTAGCTGAATCCTTCACCAACACCTGGCTGTCTCTCCTGTTGGAGCCCAGATTCCACAGCACCCTGTGTGGACTGTTCAGCAAGGCTGCCTTTCTGCTTAGACTTTTAAAAAACTCCAACAATGCACAGAGCTTCTGCGATCCTTCTTCCTTACACAAGAGTTTACAGGAAGTTTTATTTCGGCTCAGTCAAAACGGTGTCTACTTTCCCACTGTTATCACAGCTGCTCTGGCAGAGGTGCTGCCATGTGATTGAAGGGACATTCTGTGAGCAAAGTCTCCCGGACAAAAATAAAAAAATAGACCTGATGTCACCCGTACTCGGGCAAATTCAATGTTTACAATGAGAAAGGCACTTATTGCTGCCCTATCCTGTGTCCTGGAGCCAGTCCCAGGGTCAGTCATTGAGTAAGGGTGGGCCCAACTCTGTACAGTTCTTGGGTCCATTGCAGAGCCATGTACAGACAGAATGTTGTATAAATGCACTAACCTTTGTGCTATTTTAGATTTTGATATAGTAACTATTTCACTAATTCTGAACTGTCGACTGGATTAAATTGCTTACCTAAATACTAAGTGTGCAGCAGTACAGTGTAAATCCAGTTCACAGTCTAACCTCTAGACTGTTGGGCAAATAGATGATTAGCACTTGTGTCATTCACATCCAGGTTCAAAATTCAATTTTTTTCCCCTTAAAAACTTAGCAACTGGATTCCAAAATTGTGAGAATCAAAGAGAAAATATTGTGTGGTCCCAACTAATAAAGACTAAAGATGACTTTGTCTGTGTTTTGTAATAAAATAAATATATATCTAGTATATATATAAACAATAAATATCAAATTATAAATTAGACAAAAAAAATTTTTTCATTTAAATTTAGTGTCCGCCCCCCAAGATGTCTATTCAAAAATATTCTGGATAATATGGTCTCTGACATCATATAAACCATCTCTACATACAGTATATGCCATGACATCAACATTGAGAATACTGAGTTGTTTGCCTGCAGCAGGGCTGGCACTCAAGGCAGATGCAGTGATGTAATGTAACAGCATCTGCAGTCCTTGCTGTCTTGTGCCCAGCAGGGGAATACTGTGTACGGGTTAATGTTCCATTAGAGGACTTCTGCATGGATAAGTATCCATTTTCTAACCACATGGGGGCTGATGATGATTGACTGGATCTGACTAAGAGCTGGTAGTTGCTCTACAACAGACCACTCAATAAAGATGTCTTACGTCAGTGTTTGTATACAGGCTTGTGGCTCACCTGTAGTTGATAACATTTATAAATGCAAGTGTATATATTTTTTTTGTTTTGTTTTATCTCTGAAATGAATCCTATCTTGACAAGGTTTAACACAACGCAAAAAAACCAGTTCTGTATGCAAGGCAACAAACACTTATTTCATTCTTCCTGTTCAGATGATCTACATGTACATTATATGAAAAATAAAATCCTTATTATCGAGCTCACACTCCAGTGGAAGGAAACCATTTAATTGCAGGCACACTTTTGAATAATTCAAATACATTTCAAAGTACATTTTTGTTTAAACTATTAGAGTTGTTTAAAAGATAAATTAACTACAGAATACACTTTGAATTATGATGAAAAATGTGCAGTTGCAGTTTTACTTTAAAAATAAAAGGGTATAATATTGAACAAATTAGTAAACTTAAAAAACTAACCAAAGGTAACAGTTCTACACCAAATCACGTGCTGTTCAATATTGTTACCACTTGTTTCTATTTTGGATTGGAATTTTATTTTTAACCCAGAGTCACTTGCCCAAATAGTTCTAATAGTTCGTTTTAAGCCATTCATTTGTGCTTTAACCCAGTGCATGCTGGGAAATGCTGAATGAGCTGTTGTTCAATAGAGAGATGCAACAGAGGTGTTGTGTTTGCTCTGGTAATTGACTGAAAACTGGTTGAGCATCTGTTTGAAGAGTGACTTCACAGCTAGATTCAAACAAATGCTGTGAGCAGATGTCTTTGTCAGTGTCTGTCCAGTCCAACGCTGACCACGCACAGCAGAAAACTGGTCTCGCAGGGACCAGAAGAAGCCTGAGAAACAGGAGGACAGTGTTAGACAGATGCCTGAAGTCAGCCAGACACGACTCATGTCGTTCTCGATCAGCTTTGTGAGTAGAAATGAATGACTCACTTTGTGTGGTATTGGAGATGAAAGAAAAAGAGTCATTTTCTCCCTCTGTAGCTCAGTCATTAGTTTGGCTGTGTTACTAAAAAGGGAAAAAACAAGTTGGAAAATAACTGATCAGAATAACACAGTGTGTGACTTTTACTGCTGTCTGTTCTGAGGTGTTTGTCACAACCATGGCTACTCGGCTCGTGTGTGTGTCTGTGTGTGTGCATGTACTGTATGTGTGTGGACATGTTTTGGCTTCTTTGTGACCTTTTCTGTTATAAACACTAGACTAAACGAGGTCTTGACCTCTGGCCCTAATGTGGGGGATGATGATCAGGCATGATCAGGCTGATCCTCAGTTGTCATGTTGAAACCAGTCATAAGATTTCCATAAAAACAGGAATCTGAAACTGTCAGGTGAACTGTCTAGGGTGTACATCGCCCTCACCTGTTGAGACGTAGGATAGGCTCCAGCAGAGGCTTTTCTTGTCATTTAAACTCTGGGAAGCGACCATTTTCACTTTCCTTCTGTGTTTCAGACTCTATCATTAACCTCAGGGATTTATTTGTGACTCATCTCAAAGTTTCTTTGGTGACTTGGACTCAAACACTTGACCACCATAACTGCCAAACACGACTTACACTGTTTGAGTGTCTACCATTTAAAGGGCAAACTAGTTTTTAAACTATAAAACATCAAGAAATGTCTGGAACATGATTTTATGAGTATACTGTAAGTCAAACTTATAATTATATAATACAATATATTATAATATAATATAGTATATAAGTAAAGGGTTCAAAGACATGTTATAGTATTATTATAAAGTATATTTTTTCAATTTCAAAATGTATCTGATTTTAACAACGCAACATTTTTTTAGTTTATTTGATCTATCGGGTTTCAAAAACAAAGGGCTGCGACTGCAGGGAGAGAGCAGTGTGTCTGATTTACTCTCAGCACAGGCTCTTTAACCACTGAAAGCATCTCCTTTCGTTCAGATTATACCATCAATCTTTGACATTTTTATTCCCATCATCGAGCAGCATGTCGTGGGTGACAGCTTTGATCAGTTTTTTTCAAACCCTAAAAAAGGGAAACATTTTTTGAAATCACAGCCAAAATGAACATTTGAACATAAGTAAATGAAAACGTGTCAAAATCTCAGAAGCTTCGCAACAGGTTCTGGCCTAGCTCTATCTGGTTTCTTTTTTCAAAACAAAACATTTTAAAGAACCTATTTCAGACGCAGGTGTGGTGAGAAAGATATCCTTCAGAATTCCACAAAGAAGGAATGTTCTGATGGAAACAGCGCTTGCATAAATGTTTAGACCTAAACGAAGGACATGTTGAGAAACAGATTTAATATTTTTTAATAAAACGTCACCATTCTGCTCTTGTCTTAAGGACCTTGAGGTTCCGTTCTACACAGCTTTTCGCAGCTCCTCCTCCTCCTTCCGCTTGTCCTCCCCCTCCTCCCACAGGAGGCTGTTTATCAAGAAAACTGCGCTCCTCTGACAAAAACAAAGGGCTGCGACTGCAGGGAGAGAGCAGTGTGTCTGATTTACTCTCAGCACAGGCTCTTTAACCACTGAAAACATCTCCTTTCGTTCAGATTATACCATCAATCTTTGACATTTTTATTCCCATCATCGAGCAGCATGTCGTGGGTGACAGCTTCACAGCTCTGCACAATGTTTCTGTCTCTGCACGTTGTTTTCCTGTGTGCTGTGGCCATGGTGGAAAGCAGTAGTGGAAACGAGCAAGGTGAGAAAAACAATTTAAAGTTTTCCATTCATTTGTATTTTGTTAATTTTTATTTTTTACAAATATTTATTTAAAAACTCAAACTGAAAACCAGAGATACGTTTTTTCTTCGCTCCTCCTTCACCACCAAATCCATGTGTTGCTCCTCTTATTTCAGACTGTATTATATCCAGTGGTGTGGAGTACAGAGGAGAAGAACAGAGCTCCTCCTCGGGTCTGACCTGTCTGGTCTGGACCAGCACCACCAGAGACTATAATGTTTCCC